TTCCGGCCACCAGATTCGTTGGTTTTCATAAAGTTGCATTTGGCTGTACAAAATGTTGACTCGAAATGCTGAACAAGTTTTGAGAATTTTCCTAATTTTAGCGAAAATGCGTAAATTAAAACTGCGATTAAAACAGAAGCGCCGATTTTGGGTTCGGAAATTGTACTTAGAGCGACACAAATATGGATTGTTTGAAAGTTCATTAAGAAACTTGGCTGCAGATGAGGAGCAGTTTAACAATACATTAAGAATGCCCTTTTCGTTATTTAATGTGCTGCACGAATTTCTGGAGGCTTCGCTGACCAAATATTCAATCAGAACACCAATATCGAGTCGCTGCAGACTATTTATAACCCTGATGTAAGAGAAAATCGGTTTTACTTAATAGTATACGTATAATTTTCCATATATGTATCTGGTTTTATTTTTTTGTTGCAGATATTTGGCTCACGGTGGCACTCGGCAATTCCACACAATAGTTCACAGGATCGGCCTGACGACTTTCAGGAAGATTACGTTGGAGACATGTATGACCATATGGGATCTGTTAGCTGACCTGTATGTGGCGACCCCGTCAGAAACGGAATGGGGACGTATTTCCAATGAGTTCAAGTCGCTGTGGAATATGCCCAACTGCGTTGGTTCCATCGACGGAAAGCACATTAATATTACCTGTCCAGCAAATTCAGGGTCGATGTACTATAATTACAAAGGCAATTATAGTATCGTGCTTTTGGCCGTATGTGATGCCAATTATACCTTTACCTGCGTTGACATCGGAGCATATGGAAGTCAAAGCGATGGCGGTGTCTACCACTTTTCAAAACTGGCAGATGCTATTGAAAATGATAGGCTCGGCCTTCCACATGATCAGCCTCTGCCAGGAGAAACCGAGCCATTTTCACATTATTTAGTAGGAGATGCAGCTTTTCCCTTACGGCGTTATTTAATGCGACCATATCCGGGTAGAGGTATTCCAGAAGAGCAAGAGTATTTCAATAAAAGACTCTCTCGTGCAAGAAGAGTTATAGAAAACGCATTTGGAATACTCACTGCCAAATGGAGAATATTGAGAACGACGCTATGCATGGCCCCGAAAAATGCAGAACAAATAGTGAAAGCTTGTATTGTCTTGCATAATTTTATTAAGCTTTCGTGTGCAAACTATGTAGCAAGCGATTTCGTTGATCGCTACGAAGAGGATGCCACCATCGCTGGCTCATGGCGAAACGAAGTAGTTCCATTGCCCTCAATAAGTAGGGTGTCATCGAACCGAGGCATTTCAAATAATTATGATTTAAGGGATGCTCTGAAGACACATCTTTTTAACAATAAAATTTAAATAATTACTACTCACTGAATATGCTTTGTTTTTATTATTTAAGATAGAAAACAAGAATTTGAACTCACAGTATGAGGGCACTTATTGGTAATGTTTTAAATGTCGTCACATCTTTCAGGTTTTTAAATTAATTTTTGTTCAAGGTAAGTATGGCGTTAACATAACATATATTTCATTCAGTCTTTTAAGTTAAATTATTTAAATTTATTTAAATGTCTCGTAACCGCGTAAGCCTCGTAAACTTGCATCGAAAACCACGCGTTTGGAATAATATCCTGAATATTTTCTTAAAAAAATGTACAATTGTGTTTGATTAGAAACAATGAAATTATAGCAAGCATTTTCTGTGAGATTGCATATTAAATTCGATTACATATTTAATTCGCAAAATCAAAATCAGATTTCATACTAAATTAGATTACATATTAAGTTCGCAAAATTGAAATCAAACTGGATGTCATTTAAATTTTTAAATTTCGTAAATTCAATTTTTATAATTTTTATATTGAGCATAGACGTATTGAAGTACGTCCATTTGAAAATCTAGGCGGCTCTCTTCTGGGACCTTCTCAAACACTTCGCCAATCGCACCCAAGAAATTGTTGTGTGTGTGTTTTTTTTTTTTGACTATCCACAAACTGACTTACTTCGTTGACTAGATCGTTAAAGGCGGCGTTCTCATCGTTTTTTTTCTTTTGTCTCTTAGCCGGCGTTGGGGCAGTGGTTTCTTGCTCTTCTATTTCTAACATCTTGCACTAAAGCTTCCGATAAACCAACCAACACACAAGAATCGGATAATACAGCAGCCGGAACGATAAAAAAGCAAGGTATCTGAAAAAAAATAATGTTGTTAGCAACAAATAATTGTTTTATATAAACTCTTTTACCTCCAGTTGAATATTACGCCTTATAAACACG